TTCGGTTACCATTTTCGTGATATATTATATACGCTATATCTTGCCTTAAGCGAAAAAATAAATTAATAAATGATATCATCTGGTCTCATAAAGACCCCTAACCTTTTATGTGGCTAGTTTTCATCGGAGATCTGGAATGACCTTGCCTGATAATACGGTTCTCCTCTTTTAGATATAGATAACAACCTTACAATCTTAATTCGAATTTGAAAATATACTAATAATACACAGTAAACATTGAAATGGAGGTTTGGTTACCTATATTAGGCTCAGATTATTATACGTCTAATCTCGGACGTATTAAAAATAAAAAAGGTATAATTTTAAAAGGTCATATTAATAGAGGAGGTTATATACGAACAGATTTTAATATCAATAAAAATCGTAAACAATCTTATCTTCACAGACTAGTTGCAGAAGCATTTATTCCTAATCCAGAAAATAAGCCTTTTATTAACCATATTAATGGCATTAAAACTGACAATCAAGTAGATAATCTAGAATAGGTAACTTCTAAAGAAAATGCTAATCGTAAAGTATTTTCTAATCATGGATGTGGTAGGTCTCGAAAAGTTGTACAAATTAAATTAGATGGTAATGTTATTCAGATTTGGGATTCACTTTCTCTTGTGCAAAATACACTTAAAATCCATAAGAGCGCTATTTCTTTATGTTGTAATAGAAAATGAAATTTTACTGGAGGATGGTATTGGATGTATTATGATGATTATATAGAACCTAATCCTAATGAAGAATGGAAAGAAATAGAATTCGATTTAGAAATTTTAAAGTATCATCCTTAGGTAGAGTTCAGCTAGTGAATGGCATGATTACACAAGGAAGTTTACATTTAGGATATCTTCGTATTAGTAGAGGAACTCGATGATATTAATGGTTAATTTACCGAGATCTAACTTGGATGCCATACTGAAGTATAGGCCACCATCTGATTTTTTATGCTTAAGAATCCATGTTTTCGAATCCTTTTGAACGCAGGCAATTGTTGCTTGGATTGCATTATATACTTCATTTCGAGAGAATTTCTTACCTGAAGTGCACATACGTATTAACTCCCACCATACGAAATGATCATTAGGATTTGAAATTCTGGATTGGTTTAGTTTTACAGGACTTGGAAGCTTCTTTTCTCAATCCAAACCAGTTTCACTAATAGTAAGCTTTAACGAAGGCTTTTCAGATTCGGGTTCCCTATCATCGTTTGCCCAGTAACAGAAAAAGCTATATGATTTTTTATTTCATCTAATATATGCGTTATCACTATCATGTTCTCAGTCACATATTGTGCAATGCGACGGAGAGATGCGCAATAGTGGAAATTTATCAGGAAAATTTTCAGATGGATATGATAGACTATATCCTTTGATGCTAGCCTCTCGAAGTAATGTCTCTA